ATGTGAGTCAAGGCAGGTGAGCAAATACTTTTGGCAATATAGTGTATATGGCTATGCAGAGAGAGGGCTGCTGCAGACGGGCTAACATTAGCCCTGGCTGCTGTTACCCTCGGAGGTCCACTGGTAGCTGCGATCCTCTCAACATCGGAATTTTGTTTCAAATTATGCACTAAATCGGTAAATCGGCCATATAGTGACGCATAAAAGTATAATTTTCTTGCCACAACTGATCTTAAGAAGTACTTTTATAGAACAGCAGCAACAGAAAAGAGAACTTTCAACTTAATTCTGTGATCTCTGTGAGTGCTAACCTGGAAGCTGCTGCTGCAGCACTGCATGGGTAAATAGGGAGGGGAAAAAACAACGGTCGTCTTGTTCTTGTGAGTTGGAACAGTACTATGGTTGAGGCTGATGACATTTCACGAGCACATGAGGACGCATAAGTAGATATATTGAGAAATGGCCACGTAGTGGTGGGAGGCAGCTGCCATGCAGCTCTCCAGCAGGGGGTTGGACTCTGCTTTTTGGTCAAATGGGAAAAGGGCAAAAAGCCGATTCTTAGCGGGTCGACCCGGTTTAGAAAAACCTGGGTTTTCATTGGGAAAGCGGCTTTAGATTTCCCCCTGCTTCGGAACACCTGGTTTCAACTGATCAATGGGCTTTTGCTGAACTTGAATCATTTCAACCAGGTGGTAGTAGAAATCTAAAATCTGGATTGTATACATCAATAAAAATGCAAAACAGAAAAATAAAACAGTATTCATCAATTCATAGGTAAGAAATAACAAAGGATTACCTGCTTCTGCTAGAAGTGTTTAACTTCAGGGAGTCAGCAGCTTCTGTCCGACTCTTCTTGGGTTTGATTGGCTCATATGAGGGGAATTCACCCCTCCTCTTCTTACTGATGTCATCATCCCCTCCCTCGACTTCCCAGGTGAGCTGGGTGACTGACGTAGTCTCGTTTGTTTCTTTCTGGTCCAGCTTGCGGATGTTGTGACTATACTTTGATGGATCGTACTTCAATGTTCGAGCTTTGTTGCCTTTCCGACATCTGAGCTGCAGCACAGGAAGGACTCGACCAAATTTACTGACAACCCAGTCCTGAAAGCAGAGAACAAAATCATAACCTCAACCTACAAATACAAAACTGCTTTTTTTGTCATCAGCAACAATGAAATCAAAACCAAACAGTTGAAGCTGCACACAGTGAACTCACAGTGAAGTCAATGACTTCATCCGCTTGTCTCCAGATCAATTGGATAATACAAATATTTATAATCTTGGTTTTTATACTGAAAAGATTCTGGAATTAATCAATTTCATTCAATTCCAAATTGAAAGACTGACGACAGATGAAGTTGAACAGCTTACTTTGTTGTATCAAAGAAAATCCCAACTAGAAACTGAACAGTGTTATCAGTTTCAGTTTGAACACCAGATCACCCTTAACAGGGTGAATCTTGCAAAATGTATGTCAGTTAGAGGGAAAACCCTCAACATCCTTTTAAAATCCACCCCAGCATACTGTGTGCACATCATAAGGTAGGATGAGAGAGTAGTTCCTAAAACAGAACCTAAAATAGAGTCTGTTTCTCCAAAATGTAGCAAGTAGAAATTGGAGTTAAAACAAGGTACTTCTAAAGATTCACTAAAAGAAGTCACACTGATTTTGGTGGATCCTTGCGACCCCCTGCTGCGGCAAACAGACAGAGTACTAAGTACACCACTAGGGCTGGGTACCGAACTT